TGTTAATGATTCCCTTTAAGTATATTATAGCACAGTCAATAACAATGATGGTTTCATGTTAATGATTCCCTTTAAGTATATTATAGCACAGTCAATAACAATGATGGTTTCATGTTAATGATTCCCTTTAAGTATATTATTGCACAGTCAATTACAAGGATGTTTTCATGCTAATTAGTCCCTTTAAGTACTATATTATACCACAGTTAATTACCAGGATTTTTTCATGCTAATGAGTCCCTTTAAATACTATTTTATAGCACAGTCAATTACAAGGATTGTTTCATGTTAATTAGTCCCTTTAAATACGATATTGTAGCACAGTCAATTACAATGATTGTTTCATGTTAATTAGTCCCTTTAAGTACTATTTTATAGCACAGTCAATTGCAAGGATGGTTTTTATGTTAACGAGTCCCTTTAAGTACTATATTATAGCTCAGTCAATTACAAGGATGGCTTCATGCTAATTAGTCCCTTTAAGTACTATATTATAGCACAGTCAATTGCAAGGATTGTTTCATGCTAATGAGTCCCTTTAAATACTATATTATAGCACAGTCAATTACAAGGATTGTTTATGCTAATGAGTCCCTTTAAATACTATATTATAGCACAGTCAATTGCAAGGATGGCTTCAAGCTAATGCGTCCCTTTAAATACTATCTTATAGAACAGTAAATTACAAGGATGGTTTCATGCTAATGAGTCCCTTTAAATATTATATTATAGAACAGTCAATTACAAGGATGGTATCATGCTAATGAGTCCCTTTAAGTACTATATTATAGCACAGTCAATTACAAGAATGGCTTCATGATCATTAGTCCCTTTAAGTACTATATTATAGCAGAGTCGATTACAAGGGTGGTTTCATGCTTATTAGAACCTTTAAGTACTATTTTATAACACAGTTAATACCAGGATGGTTTCATGCTAAATAGTTCCTTTAAATACTATATTATACACTGTAGTATAGTCAATTACAAGGATTGTTTGTTTCATGTTGATTAGTCCCTTTAAATGCCATATTATAGCACAGTCTGTAAGGTGACTTATAGGGCTTAGTAAGTAGACTAACCAGAATCATGTAATGTCTGGAAGATTAAGCTGGGGATTAAGTAAGACAGAGAGATTTCACAAGATGCAATCAATAAAACCTGATGTTTCTTAAAGGTGCAACGCAAGATAGAGTTAAGCTGAGAGTACTTTTTTAAAAGGTTCCCCAATTTTTTAATGTTTTTCATTTTCTTAATGAATTAAGTTGGAAATTTCTGGAAATTAAATCTAACTATGTATTTAATCATGTAGATCAATTCCTCTTCATGTGAATTTTGGATTATAATGGAAATACTTGGCATCATTCATAGAAAAGACCATCATTTACACTAGCTACCACTTTAATACTGTAGCTGTTGTATTTAGAAGTATGCCTGACTGATATACAAAGCAATTAAAAGTCTGGATGACCTACTTTTAAAAAATATTTGGTCACTGATAGTGAACGTTTAATTTTATTTATATTGAAAACAGTATAGTATATTAAAATATTGAAGGTCAAAATTAGGTACATGGGTTATTAAGTCCCGAGCTTCTATTTCTGTAATCAATTGTCAAAAGAAACCTAAATTACACTATGAATACATGTACATCAGTCATTAGAGCAAACCACAAAGATCCAAAAGCTGATGTTGATTACGATTTACTCATATTATATTAATGGACAATCTTGAATTTGGGTATATTTCGTGTCAAAATCATGAAGTCAGGATGTAATTTTTTTTAATTTGTAGTCCTGGAGTGATTTGAGGCACATTAAAAAGTCAAAGGCAATTATTAAACGAACTGCAAAATTTGTAGATATTTTTCGAGCAAATCAAATGTGTTTTCCAGTATATCCAACTGTTAGTGAAATATGAAATTAAAAGTAGATATGAAACCAAACACATGTACTTAAAATCTGTACTTAAACAGACTAGATATACATGTTAATCAGTCATTAAAGCAAGCCACTAGGTTGCCTTGAAAACCAGTGTTAATTATACACACAACTGAAATATATACTAAAACAGAACTATCTGTTAGTATAGTGACATTGATTTTTCAGGTATCATGGCAACTTATTGCTTTATTTCATATAATTCTGAATTGCTGGTACTAAAATGAACTACCGTGTAATATAAAATACGAGACCATATTATAAAAGAGCCAGTTTTTTTATCACCCATTGTCTCTTTTTAATGACCAACAGCAAAAGGCCCTATATTACACTTGTTATAGCTCTTATGGCATTTTATATTCTGTTTGAGTTAGGCTGATATACTGGCACTGATTTACGCTACATACTATAAAGGGCCAATTTGGGATTTCCAAGTTAGGTAATTACACAGAGAGGACTGATTTATGCCACATATAGAGGGCCAATTTGGGATTACCAAGTTACATAGTTACACAGAGAGGACTGATTTGCGCCACATATAAAGTGCCTATTTGGGATTTCCAAGTTACATACTGTATAAGTGGTAATTTTGCCTAATCATTTAATTTGCCTATTTCCTAATTTTTGCCAGGTTCGGAAAATTAAATGTCGGAAATATTGTCTTTATAATGTTATCCAATGGGAGGTTTCTTGTTATTAGGAAAATTAAAATTAGGAAAATGATGAAATTTGACCATTCGGAAAATTAACCACTCGGATTAAATACCACTTATACAGTAGTTACACCATATAAAGTGCAGGCCTGTCAACTGTCACGCATTTGCTGAAGAATTTGAAGTCACGCCAGTTATTTTTGCGTGACAGAAAATGTCACGCAAATACGCATTTTACCTGGTAATTGTCAAGCAAAAATATTTCAGTAGAAAAATTTCTAAAAAAGATCGTCTACACAGCAAAAATACGAACGCCGGAAAAAAAATGTACGCATTTCGTTCGGACTTTTCACGCGAATTACGTATATGTCACGCATTCCGTTCGAAATTTTTCGTACCTACCCCCCCCCCCCCCCCGCGAAAAATTTGAGGTGTTCAAAATTTGGCAAGATGTAATAAAATTTAAACCAAGGTGTCCAAAATTTGGATCAAGGTGTTCAGATTTGGACCAAGGTGTCCACATTTTGAGGGGAGGTGTTCAACATTTCCAAGTCACTCATGTTAGGTGTTCCCAAGTTGACAGGCCTGAAAGTGCCAATTTGGGATTACCAGGTTACATAGTTATGCAGAGAGGACTGATTTACGCCACATATAAAGGGCCTATTTGGGATTACCAAGTTACATAAATATGCAGAGAGGACTGATTTGTGCCACATATAAAGGGCCAATTTGGGATTACCAAGTTATATAGTTACGCAGAGAGGACTGATTTGCGCCACATATAAAGTGCCAATTTGGGATTTCCAAGTTACATAGTTACACCATATAAAGTGCCAATTTGGGATTACCAGGTTACATAGTTACGCAGAGAGGACTGATTTATGCCACATATAAAGGGCCAATTTGGGATTACCAAGTTACATTTTTACACAGAGAGGACTGATTTGTGCCACATATAAAGGGCCAATTTGGGATTACCAGGTTACATAGTTATGCAGAGAGGACTGATTTGCGCCACATATAAAGGGCCTATTTGGGATTACCAAGTTACATAGTTACGCAGAGGACTGATTTAAGCCACATATAAAGTGCCAATTTGGGATTTCCAAGTTACATAGTTATACACAGAGAGGACACATATTGGATCTCTAGCTGTGAGTGAGTGTGCCGATTTACTTCACATATATTATAAGGTCAGTTGGGATCACCAAGTCACAAATATTTTAAAGGGCCAGTTTGGGAGCACTGGGTGTCTCTGTAACTGAACAACACAGAAAAAACTATCTTGGTATAAAACACTGAGTGTCTGTAACTGAACAACACAGAAAGAACCTATCTAGGTATATAACACTGAGTGTCTCTGTAACTGAACAACACAGAAAGAACCTATCTAGGTATATAAGACTGAGTGTCTCTGTAACTGAGCAACCCAGAAAGAACCTACCTAGGTATATAACACTGAGTGTCTCTGTAACTGAGCAACCCAGAAAGAACCTATCTAGGTATATAACACTGAGTGTCTCTGTAACTGAGCAACCCAGAAAGAACCTACCTAGGTATATAACACTGAGTGTCTCTGTAACTGAGCAACCCAGAAAGAACCTATCTAGGTATATAACACTGAGTGTCTCTGTAACTGAGCAACCCAGAAAGAACCTATCTAGGTATATAACACTGAGTGTCTCTGTAGCTGAGCAACCCAGAAAGAACCTATCTAGGTATATAACACTGAGTGTCTCTGTAACTGAGCAACCCAGAAAGAACCTATCTAGGTATATAACACTGAGTGTCTCTGTAACTGAGCAACCCAGAAAGAACCTATCTAGGTATATAACACTGAGTGTCTCTGTAACTGAGCAACCCAGAAAGAACCTATCTAGGTACATAACACTGAGTGTCTCTGTAACTGAGCAACCCAGAAAGAACCTATCTAGGTATATAACACTGAGTGTCTCTGTAACTGAGCAACCCAGAAAGAACCTATCTAGGTATATAACACTGAGTGTCTCTGTAACTGAATAACACAGAAAGAACCTATCTAGGTATATAACACTGAGTGTCTCTGCAACTGAACAACACAGAAAGAACCTATCTAGGTATATAACACTGAGTGTCTCTGTAACTGAATAACACAGAAAGAACCTATCTAGGTATATAACACTGAGTGTCTCTGTAACTGAGCAACCCAGAAAGAACCTATCTAAGCCAATGATAACAGCACAAATGCCCAGCTGAGTTGGCCACAATTGTGATCAGGGTTAGATTCAATAGCTGGTGCTGATTTAATCTACGTGGCCAGTTCAAGGATCACTGTACCATTAGTGTCTAGTGTCTCTGCAACTGAACAATACAAATAGGACGTTTCTATTACCTAAAGCTCCATTACAGCAGCAAGGATATCACGCTCAGTGAGCCACAGATGTGAGACTGATTTACCCCTGAATGACTTATCAAAGAAACCTAGTTATATATGAGATAAAATGAGTTTGACGGCTCAATAGAGGTTATAACCAGGACATTCCCCAAGATAGTAGTCCACGGAGGATATAACCGTATTAGATGCACTGGTGGCGAGTGTTAATTAGTTATATTGCTGGTGTTGATTTAATACCTATAATATAAAGGATATTAGAAATCAGTGATTAGAAAGAAAACTGGAATATGTAGAACTACCACCTTATTTGTAAGGATTACATAGTTCACCATATATAGAAAGTAAGTATGTTTTTATGAAGTATTTGTTGTAGAGCTTTAATTTGCAATTCAGAGTTCTTTAAACTAAAAGTGCTAGAAAGATGAGCTAAAGTGCGCCTGGGAGCTACAGTCTCAGCTTAAACCTTATTAACTCATTTTTAAAATTTTTCATGATTTTGTGCTACACTCCTGATTGTGCTTTACCCTTGACTGCTGCACCATTGACTGTGCTGCACTGTTGATTGCGCTCCTTCTTTGATTATGCTGCATGATTGCACCAGTGACTTAATATGCTGTACCCTTGATTGTGCTGTATAATTGACTGTGCTGTACCCTTGACTGTGCTGTATATTCGACTGTGCTGTATACTCGACTGTGCTGTATCCTTGACTGTGCTGTATAATTGACTACTGTACCCTTGACTGTGCTGTATAATTGACTGTGCTGTATAATTGACTGTGCTGTATAATTGACTGTGCTGTATAATTAACTGTGCTGTATAATTGACTGCTGTACCCTTAACTGTGCTGTATAATTGACTGTACTGTTTCCTTGACTGTGCTGTATAATTGACTGTTGTACCCTTGATTTTCTTAACCCTTGACTGTGCTGTACTAGAAACCTTAAACAGCATGGTTTCTATTGTATCATTATTTCTTATGTACTAAATATACAGGTGAAAGAGATGTGAAGGAGAATACCATTTTTATTATGTCACCACCAGAAATGGTTGGTGTTTGGTATTTGACAGTTGGTGTTTGGCGTTTCGGCATATGTAACAAATGGCAGGTGGTGACATTTGCATGTTATGCCTTATCTAAAATTGCTATTGGAATCTCTTTTCTCATGAATACTGCTTTGTATTATCTCTGAGTAACCCAATAATATACTGGAGGCATAGATGTGACACTATAGATAGACTAACACATATTAGGTATTTAAACCATAAAGATGCTTATTAGGGATACCCTCTTAGACTTCTGTAGTGCTCTTGTTTCCTGTTGCCAAGGTAACCGCATCTACCAGCTGATGATTCGAATTATATACACTCAACTGTTCATCTCTCGTGCATGCCATACATATATATTAACAATAGCTACCCTGTGTACAGTGTCTGTTATAGACTACCCTCTGCTTATTTAGAAGTACAAATTAGCAATCCCATCCCCACGACTGGTACATGTGACAGCCTTTCAAATACAAAGCGCTGCGCTTAACCAATCAGCAAACTGGAAGAAACACATGCAAATGGCGTGCTCATATGCGATGATGTAAGAGGAAATAACCGTATATAGAAAGTCATTTGTATTTTGACACTGAACTCTGATTGACTCATTGAGTGCAGAGCGTAAACTGAAAGTGTGAAGATGAAGCTCTCTTTTAAGAAGCGAAGTTGGAAAAATGCAAAGGGTAAACAATAGCTCTAGTTTTTGCAAATTCAATAATTGATACACTACAATGTAGCTATCACATATTTGCTGTAACTAGTACCAATGACAAATGATCAATATACAAAAAAGTATAGACAGCTGTTTATTAATTAAACATATTAAGCTTGTAACATGTAATGTAAAAAGCTTTATTACTTTAAATCCCTGTGGATGAAACACATTTATGTCCGAAATGAATCCATGCGATTAGTATAGGTACATGGCATTTTTCGTTAGTTTTTTATATTTCACAACTAAAGGCTCTTTTTCGCTATGGTAGTAACAAAAATGACATGTTGTTATGTTACCCCGGGGGCAGATCCAGGAACCAACAAGGGGCCCATATTTGAAGTATGAAAAAAGATATGGGGCCCTAAAACCAAAACGTGGACCCAAATTTTGAAAATTACGGCCCGTTTTCTTGATCATCTTGCCTAAAATAAAAATAAGGCCTTAAAAGGCCCATTTATGCCCAAAAAGGCCCATTGGTTGGGCCCCTAAAAATGTAGTCCAGAATTTTTTTGGCTTCGATTTGTTTGGAGCCCAACCTTGCCTCCCCCCTAGATCAGCCACCATACCCTTATGTTGGGGATGTGCAGTGTGGCCTAAAATCACATGAAAAATGCTCAGAATCCTGAAAATTGCATTTTTTGGGCCAGGAGGAGGGGGGGGGGGGTCCTCAAACCCTCTTTGGCTATGGGCCTATACAGTAGAGGATCTCTATTTAGGAGACTATAGGATATAGTTGATTTGGCTACCTTTACAAAACCAGTCAACCAATCATCCTACACTTAAGGCCCGGTCACACCGCCTAAACGTTGCTGGAGCGTTCCTTGAAGGTTGAAAAAAACCATCAACGCTCGTAAACGTTCACCACCGTTTAACAAAAGTTGGCATCCGTTAAAGCAACGCTGTAAACGCTCGGCCAACGCGGATGTTTCTTGAGTGGCCATCCTAACGCTCCAAAAGTTTTGAGCTGCTCAAAATATTGCGAGCGTTGAAAAAGGGACAATTTTACGCCCTGGCAAAGTTTATCACCGCTCCACCAACGCCCAGTCAAAGTTTGGCACCGCTAGACGCAAGTTCGTGGACGCTTGAATCCGCTAGACCAACGCAGAAATCTTAAACGCTGGACCACCGCTGCTTCGCCAGCGTTGCCCGGGCGGCGATTAAACGTTGCACAAACGTCGGTGGAGCGGTTGTTAACGTTTTATCAGCGTACATGGGGTTGTTGGAACGGTGTAGGACATTGTCGCAGCGTTCCATGGCGGCGATGAACTTTGCTTTGGCGTTGGTATAGAGGTGTCGGAGCGGGACCAGAATTTGGCTATAAATACGTGGAGAAATGCACCACTGTGTAGAACACTGTGGAGACACTTGTGCATTTTACATTTGATATATATTCATGTCTGGCATTTCAATATTTTGCATTGTAAATTCCTAAATTAAGCGCTCAAAGTTTGTGATTTTGGATTTTAAAAAGGTGAATTATGCGATTTTTGTTTTTCATTAAATGTTAATACAAATAGACTTTTATTGAGACCTTTATTCAAATATAGTATATATCTAGTGTTTTCACGTCAAGCAATTCAATAAATTATCTGTGAATTCTCTGCGCAGCTTGTAAAATGTTGCACTCGTCATGGTATTATACAAAAAGTTGATGCGCGCACAGCAATGCAAAAAATTGTCATGCGTCATGATTATTACTTTGCTGTAAATGTTATTTGACATTGTTAAAGCAATTTGAACATAAATCGGTTCCAAGTAATGGAAATGCAACGATTAAATTGTGAAATGTTTGTTTGAAATGATATGAGAGATTATTAAAGAAAATTGTAATGTTATTCATTCTTAATGTCATATTACATTAATAGAAGCACTTTAGATTTAAAACATTTCTTCTTTAATCCTTGAAGGATTTTTGTTAAAGTTACAAATTCCAATAAAGGTCTTTACTCTTAAACACTTCCCACTTGAAATAATTTCCCAGTAGTCAAACGCGATATGCTGCTAATCCAACGCTGCTGCTATTTATACCCCCACCGAGGCAACGCTCTCATGCGCAGAACGCCGCTACACCAACGCTCCCATTACCGCTAAACAAACGCTAGCTACCGCTCGCAACTGCTTAACCAACGCTAAAGCAACGCCGGCTTCAGCGGTGCACCGCTAAGCCAACGCCCGTGTTTTTGTTTTTTTCCCCATTTTGTGCGCGTTGACGAGCGTTGATGAATTTTTTCAACGTTCAAGGAACGCTCCAGCAACGTCCGGGCGGTGTGACCGGGCCTTTATGCCTTTTACTACATGGAAAGGATATTCTTCAAGAACATGTATTAAGGTAGTTGTGTACACTCAGAAAAAACTTTGAAAATAGTTTATGCAGATATACCTAATTAATTCCTCGGTCTCTTTTCCAAGTACATCTACATACAGAATATACAGAACTAGTATATTACTAAAGGACTTCTGCAGTATTGGAAAAATCATAGACTTGAGGAGAAATATGCTATATTAATTTCGAATTAGGAAAATGATATCACAAATGACTGGACCTGTAGGCTGGAGTGAGTTAGAGTAGATTATAAGGTCACATATCAGCAATATTATTTTTTCATGCTTCACATAGTCGCTGTATCTTGTCTGTTCAGTCATGAGTTCAAATAATGGTTGTTTTCACAAAATCGCCTGTTGTTTTTAGTGACTTTTCCATGCTAAATTTAGTCAAGAATGGAGAATGTAAAGTGTGAAAGCAGTATTTTAAAAAAACATTAATGTAACTAAGCCATAAGAAGTAGATTCATTGTTTTGCGTCCCCTTGCTTGCACGATTTTGAGTAAATCAGAAAAAACAAACACATCCAAATAGCAATCACAAGGGTCTGAAAGTACTAATTGCATTTTGTTCAGTCAGAATCAGACAAAATGGAGGATAATTTGATGCATGTCAAAATTGACGGTGTTATTGATTACTTTGGCATACATTGTGTAATTTTTCTTATTTTTTACCCTTGAATAATAGCTATGTTTAAATATATTGTATAAAATGTATAGATATGTGTTTGTAATCACTGCAAATTGGTATGTAATTCCGTTTTATGCCCATAAAATGTATGCATTTCCCAGCAAACAAGTTTATGTTTTTTCTTGAGTTAGTGTTTGTTTTCCTTGTACCTTGGATTTTGCCAGGACGCAAAACAAAGAATCTACTTCTGATGGCTTATTAATTAATTCTTGCAATCGTAATTTTATTTTATGAAAGAGAATTGATATTTCTGATCAAATAAATACTGATGTTCTTGAAGATTAACGATGTATAGAATAAATCAGATGCGAGTAGGTAGTTACTAGTTTCACCACCAGGTGGCTCATTTGGGTCAGATAGCATGGCGGTAATGAGTAGAAAGTTTCCTTAACTTAAATATTCATCAGGTCTATTGGGAATATCCCCTAACTAGAAGTCACATTTTCAAAAGTTGAAAAACAGTTTTTGAAACTACATTTCTAGACGTACTTTTATATGCAGAAATATGACATCAGGAATATTTAATGACATAAATTAAGATTATTTCTACTCACATCTAGTCTACTTTCTACTTTTTTCCTACTGATTGTGCACTGCATGATGTTTTAAAAATTTTAAATTTTAAAAAAATTGCGACAATTTTTTCAAAATTTATTCTCAACAATTGTCTTTTGTCTCTAGTGGTACTTTAGTCACAGCTACTTGTAAAAAATTTTATTGAGCCAGCAGGCCACAGAAAAAGGGGTCTTATCTTATCTTATCGTTATCTTAAAAAGCACAAAGAGAGCTTTCAAATGAGCCATGGCTAAAGTCTTAACAATCTTTCATTGCAGATATTAATCAAAATGATAGATTAAAATTTAGCACTTTTTCTTCTTAATCTTGGTCACATTTTTGGCTCTGTAGCACAATTTTAATTTTTGTGATACGACCGGTTTTCGTGTGTTGAGGCTTCATTAATATAACTTAAACACTATTTAATCGCTAAATTACCATACAATGGCATGAAATATACATAGATCATGAAGTGATTTTTAATAATAACCAATCCTGTAAAAAGATGATTATTATAGCTTTCAAACATTTAACTTTATTTACATTTTCTTTTTTATATATTTAATTTCTCAGCATTAACGATTTATATCACTAATTAACGTATTGATATCACATATAAGTTTATGCTGTTTGACATTTTAAGTAATATGTGTAATTTATTTATAGGATCGAATCACCAAAGATGATGAACGCTTCGTTAACTGTTATTTATGGTTGCCATGGTACCAGGCTAGTGTCATAACTATCTTTGACATTAGATAACAAGTTACATTCACATATTGGAAATTGGATATTTAAGTAACTAATTGGAAGTAAACGCAGGTAAGTCTAACATTTCACTATAGATTTATGAGTTTGTTTATTTAGCACATAAAAGGGAATTATACATGTATATGTTCGTTTGTTTGTTCAGCAAATAAAATTATACATGTATATGTTTGCTTGTTTGTTTGTTTGTTTGTTTGTTTGTTTGTTTGATTATGATCAGTGATCAAGCTAGCTGGTATATCTTCGTATAGTTCTGTACAGAATTGTCAATAATTGGTCAAAAGTGGAAGAGTTATTACGTCAAATAGTTGCTGGATGTTATGATTATCTTGAAAAAGATCTGAAAAAGATCTTTAAAAGTACAAGAGGGAGATTAGGATTGTCAGCAGAATTTGTATAACCGAATGCCATCTCGATATGAAAAATGAAAAATTGCTAAAGATTAACATTTGAAGTTTGAAAACAAATAACCAAGGGAAATGATATCGCTTTTATCTGCTATTGGATAATGCAAGATTCAGATACTCCAAATGGGGTTTTTCATCATGATTGAGGAATAACAAAAAACATCAGTAACGAAAGCAAACTAAAGGTGAGAACATAACTTTTTGTTTTGATGGATGCCAATGTACGTATATATAGTTTTCAGAACAAGGGCTTTACTTAGTTAAATATCTTTTCAATCAATGAGGTCAGTAACAAAAGCAAATTAAAAGTTAAGAACACAACTTGTTTAAAATACTTGTTTTGTTGGATAGTTTTCAGAACAAGGGCTGAACAGAGTTAAATATCTTTTTAATCAACTTTTAAATTCAAAACAGTAAAACCTGTAAAGTAGAACATCTCTAGAAGTGGAACACCTCTGTTAGTGGAACACTTCAGAGTCTGAAGACTGTCAAATGAACTTCTATAGTGGAACACCTCCAAAGTGGAACACTTTTAGAGATGCCAAATGTTTTCTGCTTATACAGGTTCACTGTATTCATTATTCAATATCATTTCTTGACAAATCTTTTTCTGAAGTACATGCAAATCCAAGCAATAGACAAATAACAATAGAAAACTCAAATTATCAATTAATGGTCGGTCAAATCAGATAGTTTATCATGATATAAACGCTAAGGAATAAAATAAAAAACAATTGTTTTTGCTTTATTAGATCCATATTTTTTGAGTTTGCTTTTGGAAGTGCAAATTCAGGACATTTATTCTTTTTTATTGCATATTGTGTAGATATATTTTGTTATTTCGTGCAACATTTTAGGATAATTTTGTAATTTCCTGCAACATTTTAGTTTTAAGAATAGTTTTTTGTGATTATAGGATTTTCTGATTTTTTTTATTATTTAGGATTTTTTAAATATATTAGAAGGCATATTAGCAGAATAGAAGCATTTTGGTGTTACAAAATACAACGAGGAGCCGCGTCTCAGAGATTTCAATTTGTAGGGTTGAGAGCTTCTTCATATTGTACTTTTCCATTTCATCCCTGATACTGGAATCACCACATGATTGTAAAATCGAAAATAACATTAATTATCATGAGCGATGTTATAAAACCTTCTACAATTACTAAGCAGATAGATTTATCTTGCATAACAATGGGACTACTCTGACGGATAGTTTAATTAATCGTCTCTGCAAATAAATCAGAATGACATTTGAGCCGATACAGGAAGTTAGGGGTTTTATCAAAACTGATATAAGTAGCTTGAAGCAGAAACTGCATTGAAAATACTTCAAAGCGTCGGAAATATTGAGTAAAATTTTCAAGTTTATATTGGTTGGGGCAAAAAACTGGATAGAAAATACTTAAGCGTCGGAAATATTGAGTATTTGACGTTTATTGGTTGGTCGGTTGATGGGTTGGTTTTATGAGGCCATGTGATGTCACTGTTAAGTAGACACATATCAACTTTGCCCCATTGTCTCCTAAAGGAGTAGTTTCTCTCACTACCCTGTAATTTACCTCGTCTCCCCCATCTCCCTACCAAATTATGACCCCCCTGCTCCCTTTCTCTTTATTTAATCTATTTTCATCCCTTTGGTAAAATTGTTTTGACCATTCTGAATACAGGATTTAAAAAAGTTGACATCGTGTGACATGTTCCCTTTCTTGTGACTATAGTCTAGAGATTTGAGAGCATCTTTTACTAAAGCATATTGTTTTAGGAACATTGTATAAGGTGCTGTATAAAGGCACTCGAGGGTAAAGATCAAATTCACTTAGTTTAAAATAGCGAGATGTAAATCTAATTTGTTGGTTTTACGAAATGTTACGTTTGACTTAATGTAAATATATTCGTTCATTCACCCGTTATGTTGACTCTCTATATTCTTTCCCTGACAGGTTCATTTATCGCATCACGGTGAATTATGTAAAGCAAGTTGATTGAAACATTTCTTTTTGTGAGACATCCCAGATTTCCTGAAACACTATATGAATGCTAAAAGCTTTCTTCAATGCATATATCAAACAATGAGATCCTAGAGGTAAATCAGAATTTATAAGTCAGTCAGCGCGATTAACGATCTTTTGCTAGAGGTATACCTTGCCTCAGCTCTTAAAATAAAAGATACTTTTTTGATCAAGCCTCATAGATCGGCCAATAGATGCCTCTAAATTGTACAATCTTTCATTTTAGTGACGTAAATGAAAACTTCATTGGGAAATGCTTGACACAAAAACCATAGATCTACTTTGTCATCTCTATTTGTCAGAGGGTAGTTCATTTATTAAGTTTAGGAAATTCAGGGTAATATGATAGTTCAGACTATACTCTTGTTCAATTGAAGATCATTTTCCATGATTGATTGCCATTGAATATAATAAATAATTCATTATATAAACAGCTTGTGAGTTTTCTATAGTTAAATATAGATCTGGATCGATGCTAAAATTAAGATTAACAATTATTTTACAAATATGTGCAAATAGGGTGATATTTATTAAAAAAGCATACAAACTCTACCCGTGATGTATTAGTATATAAAAAAGAGGAAGACGATTAGACTAGAATTCCGATTGGATTTTTTTTAAATCAAAAAAACATTAAAACATTGTTAAAGTTCATAGTTAAGATGGAAAGTGGTCCTTTGAATATGATTATTGTTGCTTTGAATCACCCTTTTCAAGATGTGATTACCATTGTATCACTATGCTCTGTAAGTCATAGATAGACCTCAGAAATCATTCCATCAGCAAATCAGAGTTCAGCGTTTTCACCAGAAAATCTTTAGAACCTGAGGAAATAACCTTGTCATTCTCACAACTAAAAGCTATTACGCCAAAATTGCTGATTTTCAGACATTATTTTGGAAGAAAAAGAATCAAGAGTTTGTTGCTTAGATTCCTGCATTGATTTTAAATAAGTATGTAATGTATGGTTCACTGTGGTCTATGAATGTGTAAAATGGTCAGATATTTGTCAGAGTATAGCAGTGTACTACTCGTTTAAAAGCACAGGGTAGGTCCCAGCCATCCTCCTTAATTTTCATAACCTCTATAGATTTCTTCTTAAGTCAGGGATCAGACAGAAATTGAATATTAGGGTTTATAATGGACGTCTAATACCTTGAATTAACACAAATACACACTGAGTCAGACAAAATCTTGCCAATTATCAGGAGATCAAACTCAAATTAATGGAAATCAATGGGGTGATTTATTTTGGGCAGAAATGTCAAAAGTTGGTTAGTAGACTAAATTTGTCTTGTTTCTTGTTTTCAAAAAATCTTTTTTATATTGGTATGTAATGCAAATTTTTTTTAGCTCTCATGGTAAGCTTAAAGAATCAAACATTCAGTTGTCTATCTGTCTAAGTGGCCATCCGTCCTTCTGTCTGTCCATCAACAATTTTTCAATAAAACTCATATCCATTTTGTAGGGTGGTAATTTGAGGAGATGGTATCAGCTATGACTTTTGCATTGTTTTGGGGTCATCTGCTTTTTTATCAAAAGTGATAACATATTGAAATGGTCTCCAACTTTTTTTGTGACGGCATTTGGCATCTGTAACATTACAATAAATTGTTGGTGACATTCTGTTGTTAATTAATGCCTTGTTCTTTGTTTATTTGACTTCTATGAATATGATTCATAATTAATAAATTCATAAATATGATCCCAAATATAAAGAAATCATGAATAATGAATCTTTAATTGAATCATGAACTCTGAATATTTAATTGAATCATGAACTCTGAATCTCTAATTGAATCATGAACTCTGAATCTTTAATTGAATCATGAACTCTCAATCTTTAATTGAATCATGAATCTGAATCTTTAATTGAATCATGAACTCTGAATCTTGAATTTAATCATGAACTCTGAATCTTTAATTGAATCATGAACTTTGAATCTTTAATTGAATCATGAACTCTGAATCTTTAATTGAACCAAGATACTGATCAAGCATATTGTACCACACGACCCATATGAGGACAAATATTGTCATTTCTGTCTTGTTATTATTGAGCTGGAAAGTTCAATTGTAACTCAAGCAAATAATAATTATTCTCAATATCAACTGAATCATGAAAACAAAATTAACGAGCACTCTTTTGGAATATGATAGCGCTCTCATTGTATGGTATGGCTGATGATTTGCTGTATTTATTACTGGGCGATCTATATCTGTGTAATCATAATAGTACATATATAGTCCAATATGTAAATTTAGAATTGCTTCATATAATATATACAATATACCACCAGGTATATGTACAGTAAAACATGTACAAGTGGAACAGCTTTCACATCTCTTAAAAGTGTTTCTGAGCTTCGTTTATTTAACCTCTTGACTACCCAGAATGACAAGATTTCTCGTCACCTCAGAAATGACCTTGAAACCCAGAGGGACGAGAAAATCTGTCACAAAATTTTTCACAAAAATTGATCTTATTTGAACAATTTTCATCCAATTTACAAAAAATGTTTCAAAATGTATAGAAATGATCTCTGCTATCTAATTTTACTAAGTTGAGCATCTTAAGTTGTATAGGTATGTAGTAAATGTCAAAAGGTGGCAAAAATGAAAAAATTCTCTGGTTTCAACCGATTTTAGAGCCTGGGATTCAAGAGGTTAACATTGAGTCACTTGGTCGTGGGAGTGGGAGTCTGAATAGTGCTTTACTTAGAAAGGTGTTTTACTTTATTTGGTTTGCTGTAATATACAATAACACTTACAAAATAAGTCAATTGATGCCCTTTGTTTTCACAATATGGTTTTCAATTGTCATGATTAGGAAAGATGAATGAAATTTTTTCATCGATGGGATAAAAAACATATAGAGATATTTAAAATTACATCTAGAAATGTGGTTTTGAAAAGAGTTTATCAACTTTGAAAATTTAATTTTCCTTGAAAATGTGACTTCAAGGTCGGGGAGATTCCCCATAGACCCCATGTTGTAAAACCACAAAAAGTGAAATATCTTTCCTTGTGTTGGGCAGATAATATTTTCTTTTACTGGATATATGTTGATTTGTATAATTATCACATACATAAGGGTAATATAAAAAGTGAACCACTAAAACTGATGCATATTCAATTTTAAGGGAATTTTGTAATACCCTTCCATGTTATTTCCCCCGAATCAGCCACCTGGTGGCGAAACTGGTAACTACCTACTCGCATCTGAGTAATTGCTTATAAGGCAATGAGTGATAATCGCTAGACTTATGTTGGTTCGTTTGGAAGCTCTATTTAAGCGATTGTTCATTATGAGAAATTAAGTTTTTAAATGTATTTGTTACTTGTTACTTAAATAATAGTAGTTTTTAAATAATAATGCTAATAACATGAAATGCTGATAAATCATCTCAATTGAAAATCAATCAATCCAAATTATTCATGCAGTTACACATTTTAGTTATCTCCCCAGGATTTTTTCTCAGGGAGGTTCATTATTCTCATTTTCACAATTCAGATGAAAATTGGTCTAAATATGCCAATTTTTCATGATTTTTCTCATTTTCAAGTGGATTCATATGGATTTTCAGGTGGGTGCAAGCCTATTTTCAAAATCGCAGGTGGGTGCTGCGCCCTCTTGCTTTAATGCTGCCGAGATCACTGCTATTCTTTTAAAATGATATCCTATTTAGTATCCATGTCAGATTATTTGATTTTGAAGTCGGATAACATGCCAAAATATAATTAGTCTACAATTTAATTTCCTCAATACCAGTTTTCATTGAGTTACAAAATTCTGTCATGAAATGATAAAAAGGAGAATTAATCAATCTACTATGATGTTCAACCTGACGTAAGATGCCTTAAATCTGAAACATTTGTAATTACATCAGAACAAGTGTTGATTTGTGTCCAATTGATTACAATTCATTGCAAGAACTAATAACCTTGTCTTCAACTTGTTAATGAACTCAACGGAAGAGGTTCATTAATTGGTATCCGTCATGAAAGTTATAAGCTGAAAGCTAAATTGAACTAGCTTTATCTCTAGTATAGTGACATACATGTACAGTAAAAACTCGTATTTCATACCTACTGAGGTTCTAGGTACATAACGAGTGGGCAGTGTATCTAGGGAGCTATCACCAAGGCCCGGGACCGGGATGTATCCATCCCGGTCCGCTCCTGATCAAAATAGGGATTTCACTTTTTTAAATTTTTTTTTCAATTATTTTTTCAAAATTTTTTTTCAAAATTGTTTTTCAAATTATTTTTTACATTTTTTGTCAAAATGTTTTTTTCCCATTTCTCCTTCGGGAGATACATATTTCCCTTGGCATAAACCCTGTATCCAAAACCTCCTAGTACATAACCCTTATTTATTCTTGACCAGCCAGAAGTGTTGAGATTGGGAGGTGTTTGCATTTCAAGGTTTTTAACAAGGAAGCCTATGGTAGATTAAAGAATGGGACCAAAAAGTGTTCACATTAAGAGGTGTTCGGATTAGAGAGGTGTTCACATTAAGAGGTGTTCGGATTAGAGAGGTGTTCACATTTAGAGGTGTTCACATTAAATAGGTGTTCACATTGCAGAGGTGTTTACATTATAGAGGTGTTCACATTAAAGAGGTGTTCACATTGCAGAGGTGTTCACATTACAGAGTTGTTCGGATTAGAGAGGTGATATACAGGTTTTACTGTTCTTTTTACAAACTCTAGTATGCCTGTCTTTAACCCGAATATTTCTTTTTAATAGTGTTGGAAAACCCCTATTGCCATGTCTTAAAAACTCTAAATTACAATCACACTTCTAGAATATACATTAGATGGACTTTGATACAAACATTTTATTCATGATAGATTTTATTAGAAGTCAATCATGGTTCACAGTATAGACATGTATAGGGTTAACAAAAATAACCCTTTAACCTATTAAGGGTACTTTATTTTATTAATTTGTTGACTTAACAATCAGTGTATATCATTAAAAATTTGTTAAATATATTTCTGTGTAAATTCATCACTCTGGTAATATACTGTATTAATAATAACTTAAATTCATTTACACTTCAGATGAAACATTTTACTCTAAAGTAAATCAACTTATTGATTATTGTTAAATATAACTTTTGTCTATAACAATATATCACTTTATATAGTATACAGTAATACCCATATCAGCGGAACACCTTTAATATCTCTTAAGTGTTCCACTTGAGAAATGTTCCACTTATAGAGGTTCATTTGATATTTTTCACTTCACTCTGAAGTGTTCCACTTATTAAGCCTCAAGTACCAGGTCTTTCTCGTGCAAACATTGATATATACCAGGATATAACCAAGGGGTGGATCTGGGAACCAACAAGGGGGGGGAGACATCTGGTCTGAGAAAAAAACTTCTGCACTTACGTGGAAAAAAATTTTGGGCCCTTAAAACCAAAAAGTGGGCCCCCCAGATCCGCCAGTTTAACCCTGGGGAAAAGTTGCCTGCAAAATCTATATTGTAAATGAATTGCGCAATTAGCCTATATCCTGTTTATGTGTATTATGCAATTATGGGATGTACCGCACATGTGCATTTACTTATTTATTGGTTATTAACAACATGTTTTGCAGATATTTCCTCACAGTCATACCAAGAGATACGCAACATTATAGAATAAATTACATGATATGTATTGTCTCAAAATCAGAGAAAATCTGTATGATTTGCTGGGGAATAAAAATTTGTTTTAATTTTGTTTTGGGACAGGATCGGAGTTAGATCACCCTGGATATAGGCTCGGGAAAATATATAGAAAATTGAGTCAAATACATAACATAAAGAGATCTCTTCACTCGGTGTATCTGACTCGATCTTTTTTTTATATGTAGTTACCGGGCCTAAGGCCCTGGAGTTTACATGCAAATTATTTACTTTCTACTTTGAGTAATTGTTTGGAAATACCATAGTAAAAACTCATACTAGTAACTTTTCAAAAAAAATTCAAAAAAATGTTCACATTGAGAATTTTTCCCTTTGAGAGACAGGCCTGTCAACTGTCACGCAATTTTCGTATTTGTCACACATTGGCTGAAGAAATTGAAGTCACACCAGTTTCTTTTAGTGACAGAATATGTCACACAAATAAGCATTTTGTCACGTAAAATATTTCCGGAAAAGAACATAAAAAACAAATGCTGAAACATAAAAAAACGAACACAAAAAAATGCAGTTCGTTCAGAATTTTCATGCGAATTGCATATATGTCACGCATTTGCTTCAAAATTTTCCATCTGTCTGAGCGCAAAAAAATTGAGGTGTTCAAAATTTGGATGTATGCAATTATTAATTTGAACCAATGGTGTTTAAAATTTAGACCAATATGTTCAGATTTGGACCAAAGTGTTCAAAGTTTAAACGAAGGTGTTCAACATTCGTTTTGTAAGTCACTCATTTTAGGTGTTCCCAAGTTGACAGGCCTGGTGAGATGCTCATTGAAATTCAATCTTTTAACTTATACCAAACCTGATAACTGATATGCAAGTGATGACAGGTCTCATTTATATTAAGTGTAAATGATTATCTCAAGTACTGTATTGATATGTGCACTTTCTGCATGTTGTCAGCTTTTTATATTGAGAGATGGGGTTTTCTTTCATAGGGTTGTTTGATGTAGTATTTTTTACGGGAGACAAATTCTTTGATTTCTGAGGCATCCATAGAAGGAGGGGGGTCATGTATAAGTATCAGGATAGGCATTACAGTGTTGGCTGGTTCTATGTTAAGCTGCTAGGTTATTGAGGTTATTGATTAGATAAGTCAGCTATTGTTTTTATAAAAAATATATACATATCATTGACATATGGATGGGGTTCAGATGTGATATTTATTTTGGTTGACTTACCACTTTTCTATACTTAATCCATTTTCTTAAGCTATTTAATGTGAGTAATATAAGTGGTAGATATAATTCAGAGTAGCATGTTCATCTTTAGAGGAGTCTGTATTAGACAAATTGATTGACTCTTGTTGTTTGTTTGTTTATTTACTGTCAATCCTTCTTTACATCAAACCATTCTGTCACTCTTTGAATTCTACTTCATACACGTTTCCTAATATATCTCCAACCAGTAGGTGTTCCTGATGACCTATAGCCACACATACAGGGCCCATCAATCCATCTTCCCCAGTGAGGAGGTGTTTGATGAGATGGCCAGTTGAACAGATGAGGCTTACTCTGTTGTTCCCTGCGTCAGCTACAATGATGTTATTTCCATCAGTACACACACTGAGTGGATGCTTGAGCTGCCCATCATCAGATCCCTCAGCGCCATACTCCATTTTCTTATTGCCATACCTGTCTACTACTGTAATACAGTGCTTCGAATAATCAGGCACTACTACATCATTGTTCAGATTGACAGCAATAGACAAAGATGCAGGGAATAGTCCTTCAGGGGTAATAGTTACAACTTCCCCAGTATTGTAATCTATGTGAGCCACAGTCCCGGGCTTCCTGTCATTGACCACAAGTTCTCCATTGTCATTACATGCGATTCCAATCAGGTAAGTGAAGGGTGTCTTAATGTCTCGTTTGTGGACACCTTCCTTGTCGTAGATGCTAATCAAACCCGTGCTGTTTGTTAGTGCAAGGCATTTGTCAGGTGTAATAGCTACATGATTCATACTGACATGTTTTGTATATGTCAACTCTGAGTTATTGTAGAATTGTACTTCATTATCTCTTACAACAACTCGTGTTGAGGTATCAACCTCAGCTATATCTCTAATCCACTTAAGTGTACTCAATTTGGTCATATTTATAACAACTGGTTTTGGAAAATATTTCTGTGTAGGCATTAGAAGAGACTTCTCGGGTGAGTGTTGGATGATGGAACCACGGTCAGAAGTTCTCATTGACTCATCTTCTTCCCTTTGATCATCCGAAATACTCATTTGGGTATTCTGGGATATTTCTGCTTGTACATTCTCCAGAGAAAGCATACTCATTGGATGGTGAAGCATACTCATAAGTGTGATATTATCATCAAAACCTCTTTGATACAGACTGCCAAATATAATTCGGTTGTGCATTATCTCACATGGTCTGAACTGGTATGGATCTGGTGGTAGATGAGCTGGGGTTAATAGTCCTTGTTTTTTAAAACCGATGCATAATCTGGCCTTTTCTACATTGTCCTGTATTGTTCCAAGATGGGTCGTAAAGGTCTCAATCATGGCTTTAGATGTTTGCAAATTTTCCTCGAGTGCTGCCCTTGACTGACATTCTTTCTGGTGGTACTCATCAATGTTTTGCTTTAAAGATGAAAACAGGTTATTGATTGCTTCAATAACTCTTTTGTGATCTTGCTCTAATTCTTTTGTGAGGCGTTCATTTTCATTTTTAAAGTAAAGTTTGTCATCTTCTACTTTTTTAAGTCTCTCTGCTAACAATTTTAGATATTCTTCCTTTTCTTTATTCCATTCCTCCTCAAACTCTTTGACGACTGCATCAAGTTCAACAAACGAATGTCCAGTATGATCTTTAGTACAGCTTATACATATGGCACAACTGTCCTCTTTACAGAATAACTGCAAAGGTTTATCGGGATGGTGTTCACATTTAGTAGGTTTGCTGCAAGGTTGGGCTGCAAGTATCTCCTTTAACGTATTTATCTTGAAATCGGCTCGTAAAGCAGAAGATCCCCCTGCTGGAACTTGCCATTCGTCTCTGCACACAGGGCATCGTAGTGGCTCCTCGGGGTCATTATTAACTACTAAACCCTCAACACATTTCAGACAGAATGAATGATGACAAGGCAGAAGTTTTGGGTTGTCTAAATCCTCGAGACAAAGTTTACATTGAAGAATAGGTTTGAATTGTTCATTTTGTTCTTCTGATGCCTCCGCCATTGCTTTAACTTTTGGGTGTGTTCTTTTCATTTATCTTAAATAACCTACAATTGTCCATGTGTTATCTTTTTTTTAGCTAAGTACTAAGTTAACAATGTACCCGTTATCTTACATACAGTGCATATAGATGCATTAAGTAGGCACAAGTTCTTTTTTATCATAATTGATAGTAGAATTGCACTTCAAGAATGTACATTATTATTTCAAATCTTAATTTAAAAGATATTATTGTGAGACATCTTTTTTAGGTTTCTGTTTTAATACAAGTGAAGGTATATAATTTTTTTTATATTTTATATTTTTTATATTTTTATATATTATTCAACACAGATCTTATTCAATAAAGTAGGTAGAATTAATATTGTACATACATAATATGATTATACATGTATGAGAGTTATCAAGAAAAATGTATACAAAGATTATTTTAAGAGTACATTTTCAAGTTTAATGAAGGTATTATTTACATGTTAGTCAAGTATAACACAACCTTTGCGCAAGCTGCTATCGATACAAATATTTAAGGAAATTCATCATAATACTGTGATTGAGTCAATTGCAAAACAACCTTTTGCAGTCTGCCATATAAATATTCAAGAAAGTCCATATAATACTGTAAAAAATTATAATGCTTGTATACTTATAAGATTTCCTAACAGCCCCACCTGAAGTAAATACTGGTAACTAGAAACTTGAAAACTCATTCATTAACTCGAACAATTATATATAATTATTTAAGTTTGCACACATATGAGCTGATATGTCACTTTGTACATGAAATTCATGTAAATCTGTTCAATACATACACAATATATTCAATACATCACAAACAGCTGACTGTTATCAGAAGTTCAGATTTCCGATGAGAAATGATATAATGGCCACGATGTTCTTTTTATTCAAATTTACTATTAAGTATCTTAATCACAGTGCATTTGTCATAAAAGTCTAAAACAAGGTTGATGAAAATGATTTAAAAATGGGGCACACAAGAACAAAGTATGAATATAATGAATATTTGTACCTTTTTCAATTTTTTTATTATTTATGTCAGAGTTCTATATTTACTTTGTTTTTTAATTAATTGGAAGAGTAGAATGTGTCATACTTAATATAATGAAATCGATGAGCTTTTTTATCTATGTGATTTTAGTTAAATCTTTCTTGCTTATATATTTTAATGAAGACACCCCAAATTGTGACAGAACACACCAAGAGAAGGAAAATATCCAGAAGTACATCTGTCATAAGGAAACCAAACCCAACTATCCCAAACCATGATCAAATGTGAAAAGAAACAAATTAAAAATAAATGTAGTTTGTACTATGAAAATAAAATTGAAGTTGTTACCATTGATATATTTATGATACGACAACCATTATGAAATGATTGTTACTTGAGTGAAACATGAAATATCATCAAATGTTTTAATTATATGTGGTCCTGCCTCAACTCCAGAATCCATAGTACATCTTAACATCTCCATCTTCCCAACACCATTTGGGCTGTTGGGAACCAAATCAGTACACATGCCATATCTTGTGCTACCGTTTTCCGAACCATCAAAGTGACAATCTCTCGTGGTGATGTTTTCATGTTGCTCGTTGTACCATGCTATTGGTCGTCTTGGACCACCTCTGGACTCCCTATACTTGCACCCAACTTGAGTGTGTTGATTGATTGGAGCATTCACTGCTTGGTGGTCGCAACTGAAGTGGACTACAATTCAATACAGATAATTCAGACATTCATAAGGTTGCTATTTACTATATACATATGCACAGTACTCTAGTAGGTCCTTTCTGCTTCATATATTATAAGTTATTGAATAGAATATATCCTGTATTGCACTTCAAATCATTCAATAACGTTTTTATCGTGTGATCCTCTGTATTGCTTCTGAGATTGTCCCCTCCGTAACAATATTTTCTGTATTGCGATGGAGATGATCAACGGGGATAATCTCAGTAGCAATACAGATTGGTACAGCACAAGAACTGACCAATCAGAGGGCCTCATTTTACTGATCATAAGATAAATATATATATTGATGGAATTTTACATCAACATTAAGATACTAGTAAACAAAAAGAAAAGTGATTGTTGCTGAATGTATTGGTTGATGAGTACCCTTTGCATTCGTTCGACTTCGCTTCTAAAAAAGAGAGCTTCGTCTTCAGTTTATAACTGGCGCGGGGTAGTTGATGAGGTTTGGAAATTTCAAATTCATAGTCATCAAAATAATATCACAATCATTCGAGAAAAAATCCAATTACTAACTTACATGCTACTTCAAAACTCCATTCATTTGGTCTGTAGAGCTCAGTATTACAGCACAATGGTGAGTGTATTCATTGGCATTAACTTGCAAATTTAAGTTATAGTTGTCACCATCATCCATTTTGTACTTGTTGGGCTCAGTGGTTTCTCTATTTGGATTGTTCACGTTGGTATATATAAGTTTTTTGCCAGTGGGACCGAAGTCTCGCCGATGGGATTTGAACCATGAAATGGTAACATCGCCAGGGAATGGTACATCACATGGCAATGTTGTTATGTCTCCAGACAATGCATGGACCTCACCAGATTTGACAACTTAAAATATGGAAAAGATGTATTAGATGTATTTATAAGACTAGGTTTGTACTTTCATGGTGGTGTACTTATAAAGGATTTCTAACTTTAGGAATATCCCAAGGAAGTCATAGGATATCATATTTATCCTATTGATTTCAAAAATTATTTGTGCATTCTAAAAATAGCCCACATATACCTTCACAACAAAATCAATTGAAACTAATAAACATTCAAAAAATATAATATTTACTAAAAACTTAACCTCTGGCCATTAGGCAGATTTATTATTCTTCAGGATAATTCCCATATCTTGAACCTTGTATAAGATAATTTCTGCATATTAGTCAATCAGATGATAAGCTTTTGTAAATTTTCACAGCAAGAAACTAAATCCTTCCGTCTGTTGTCTTAATTGAAAAATTAAACATGATGCAAATTAGAAATAAAGAAAAGATTTACCTTCCTGACTGTTTGCCAGATTTGCCAAAAGTGCAATTAATATTTGGACAATCATTTTTCAGCACATTAACATGTCTTAATATTTCAATGAATGGTTGTTTATAGATTTTTAAAATTGACACTCCTTCATTATATAGTTTTTATCAACATTTTTATATTTTGTTGATAACATAACTTCATATAACATTGATAACATTTTGAATATGGTATAGACCTAATGTTTTTAGTACAAATCATAATAATTGCGAATAACATGGGAACTGTAAACTTTTCATCATAATATTTAAATATTTGTTTATTGATTACGTTTTAACCGTTTGAACTTGAATTCGATAAAAAAAGTCATATTAAAGTGGTACTTTCCTAGGGTTCTTATAAAAGGTTCAAAGTTGTAATAAACTGTTTAAACTAGTCTAACATTGTTATCATTATATTAAGGTAGTCCTAGAACAAACTTTAGACTGAATGAAAATCTATATTAAAATGCTCATTCTACACTGCCTACCTATATATTGTTTTATAGATAAATTAACAAAAGCTGAATGTATGTGTGCTGAGTTTTATGAATGGTTTTTAGGGATTGTGTCCTGTTATCAACAACCATGGAATAACAATTTAGGTTCGTTTTTAGGGGGAGGGGGTGAATGATGATTTCATTGGCAATTAAATAGTGTTGATTTTTTAAATATTCAAATGAAAGACAAATAAACATTTTAAATTTCTATAGTTGAGGATGGGTGTCAGAGTCAGACCATAATGATACTAATTTCGTTATCCAAGACTGGAATAATTGGACATCACCGCATACAGTAACTCGCATCAGTTATCGGAAGTCAGTTATCATGATAAATCAGTTATCGTGATAAATCAGTTATCATGATAAATCAGTTATCATGATAAATCAGTTATCATGATAAATCCAAAGGGGGAGTTATTGTTAAAATGTGTTTCATAATAATGTATTATGCAATAACAAGAATAACTTACACAAATGTTAAATCATTAAAATATCCATTACTGGCTTGGTGAGTTTCATTGAATAGATGCAACTATGCCGAAAATGTGGTGGTGTGTTACTATGGTTACAGAAGAGAATCTAATAGATGTATGACAAGAATAAATCCGTTTCTGTTTATGCAATTTACAAGGTGTTACGTATACTACCATTTCCTGAATAGTTTTTTTTATTTTCATATTCGGTTGAACCATTGTAAAATCTGTACCAGGGTTTCACTAGAATTTCTTACAACAGGCTAAATAAATTGAAACAACAGGCAGTAATGGAACTCATAAATTATACTTGGAAAAGTTGAAGAGTCCCTAAAAACAACAGACGATTTTGTGAAAACAACCAGTGAAAACCGCCTGTAGCATGCTGCTAATAAAACCCATGTGTATATTGGAACACCTCTCTTATCTGAACACCTCTCAATATGAACTCTTTGGTCCAAGTCATTTAATATGCCACCGTTGTGTTAAAAACACCATAACTTAGCCTTTTTTGAGGCCAAGATATCATCATTTCTGGTATTAGGGGCCCACATTTTTTTTCAGAAGATTTTCTTCCTGACTTAATTAAAATGCCCCCCCCTTGTTAGCCTCTTGAGCCATCAGTGGCTAGCATTACTAATTTGCAATGTAAGTTATGAGATAAAAGTGACAGACTATTATATATAGTTTGAGTTGATTAGTAAATGACATTTGTAACAATAGTTTATTCATCTACATTTTCATACCGTTGAATGAATGATGTATATACTGATATTTAAAGTTAAGGATGTAGTCAAGGTTACTAGGTTAGTGTAACCTTTTGTATCATATTCATGAATAAAATTATACAATTAAAGGGTCAACAAGGAAAGGAGATAAATTGGGAGTTAAGTCTCAAAAAGTTGTCAAAACACAACAATCTTTTTTAGTATATTGATTCATTCTATGACATGTACATAAATTGTCACCATGCCCAGTCAGATAACCCTTTGGTCACATTATTATTTTACTACACAGGACGTTTCGGATCCTAACTGGATCCTTTTTCTACTGTATAAAAACTGAACTGAAGCATTTAGTAAAATAAAGGTTGTGAAAAGAAGAAAAAAATATTTTTTTTGTGATTTGATAATCCAACCTGAAGAACATGTTTAAGAATATTAATCTTTTGATACTTTTTAATTCTTATAAATTTGGACATTTCAAATCTCAAACTTAAACTTATTTTTTAGAAAATTGAATTACAATTATTATGAAAACAGTGACATACTTTTTGAAATTATTGCTTTTCAACTGTTTGTTATTTCAAGTCTTTGCTATCCCTTTAAGATATGAGCCTTGCAATAAAGTGAATACCTTTATTACTTTCAGACATTGTCAACAGGTTCATAAAACATATCTATTACAAAACATCTGATACAACTCTCAACACACAGCAAAACATTGGATTAATTTGAAATAGGACAACTAAACCGTAAGTTATATCAAGTCTTTGCTATCCCTTTAATATAAGCCTTGCAATAAAGTGAATACCTTTATTACTTCCTGACATTGTCAAAAGGTTCATAAAACATATTTATAACAAAACATCTGATACAACTCCCAACACACAACAAAACATTGGATTAATTTGAAATAGGATGACTAAACCGTAAGTTATATCAAGTCTTTGCTATCCCTTTAATATAAGCCTTGCAATAAAGTGAATACCTTTATTACTTCCTGACATTGTCAACAGGTTCATAAAACATAGTTATTACAAAACATCTGATACAACTCTCAACATACAGCAAAACATTGGATTAATTTGAAATAGGACTAAATCATAAGTTATATCAGTCTGTTTTTATTGCTATTAGATAGTGTTTTATTTCTATTATGGCTGGTTTAGTATTGATGAGATAGTTACATGCTAGATCAGAGCTGTTAGAATGGTAATAGAGCCGTAATAGATCATAATTTGAAAATGGGGAATTAATTTACGTAGCATTCTGCAATTGTTAGGGAAATGATGCATTGTATTTTCTCATGTATGCTGAATGTTATGAAATAATGATATTAGAAATTACAAATAAATCGTAGGTATATTTGTTTTTGCAGGGGGACCCAATATACAGGGTATCCGCAAAGTCCCTTCAGTATTTAAATTCTATGTTTGTGTAGCTGTGTAGAGACTTTATGAACACCCCATATTTTTGAGAATTGGGTGGGATTGGAGGATTTAAAACAAATTTAAAACAATCAACATATTTTTTTTAAATCTTTCAATAGTTTTTTTCTTACCAACTGTGTAGAATAAAAGAAGTACTTTTCCTCCTATATATACATGTATATATGCTGTGGGAAAAGTCATCAGATTCTGGAGCTCACTGGAAGACCATTCGCTTAGATAGTGAGGGGTCTCTGGTAAAATCCCATACTGGGTTAGGTTAACTTTTTTGCATCAACATTGCAGGCCTGTCAACTTGCGAACACCTAACATGAGTGACTTGGAAATGTTGAACACCTCCCCTCAAAATGTGGATACCTTGGTCCAAATTTTGAACACGTTGGTTTAAATTTTATTACATCTTGCCAAATTGTGAACACCTCAAATTTTTCACGCACGCTACCCTTGCATTTCAAACATCCATCAACGGGGGGGGGGGGGGGGGGGGGGGGGGGTAGGTACAAAAATTTTGAACGGAATGCGTGACATATACGTAATTCGTATGAAAAGTCCGAACGAAATGCGTACGTTTTTTTTTCGGCGTTCGTATTTTTACTGTGTAGACAAACTTTTTTAGAAATTTTTCTACAGAAATACTTTTGCTTGACAATTCCCAGGTAAAATGCGTATTTGCGTGACATTTTCTGTCACGCAAAAATAGCTAGCGTGACTTCAAATTTTTCAGCAAATGCGTGACAAATACGCAAATTGCGGGACAGTTGACAGGCCTGACATTGTAACCTTTCTCAAAAGATTTAGTTCTCTGTTTTTATTAGCTGTTACCTTTTATTCACATATCTATTATCACTTGGCAATGTTTTACACATAATTAGCCTATTGTTTGATTATAATGTGATAAATGACAGATATTTTGTTTAAGATAAGTTGTATATGGATTTCACAGTACTCCCTGGATTAGTTAACGAGTTCATTTTATGATCCCCATAGGCCAGAAAATTACATAATCCCATTCCGACAGCATTCGCTTGATTAGATTTATGATAAAAGAACAAATCAGTGAAAACATATAATGGGATCAGTTTTTATCCAGTTCATTAACTGGGTTAGTCTATTGATCCAACGAAATATGTAAAAATACTTTTTGAACCGCATAGTGGGCCAATATGGAATCACAATACTGTCTGTCTGTCCATATTGATATTACAAGATGTCCATCCATCATCTGTCTATTCATCCATCGACAATTTCTGAATATCAAATGGAAATAGTGATTAATCTAACCAATTCATGGATAGATCTCATCTACTTTAAAAGTGACCATGCTAATTAATATTGGACCAGTGGCTGGCAACATTTTTCTAAGGGCTCCCAAATGGTGCCATAATTTTCTATATGAGGTACAATATCCCATCTTTCCTTTTCTTAATGGTGTCTATAAATCAACAAATTACATTACAGTTAATAATCATGAATGGGCCTCTGATTGGTAAAGTATGGTTCAATGTTAACTATCAAATCTTGGCATAAATCAATGGTATCATTTGTAAAAGTAGTATCGAGATATTGTTCCCTTGCATTTTCCTTGCATTCTCTCTTAAAAGAGAGCTTCTTGTACTCTCTTTAAGTTTTAGAGACATATCTGAACTCACCGAGAAAACCAGTAGCAGGGCTGTCAACTTGGGACCACCTAATATGAGTGACTTCAAAATGTTGGACACCTAAGTCCAAATCTGAACACTTTTGTCCAAATTTTGAACACCTTTGGCCAACTTTTAAACACCTTTGGCCAAAGTTTGAGCACCTTTGCCAAACTTTGAACACCTCAAATTTTTCGCGCTCGCTACGCTCGCGATGTCGTCAACGGGGGGGGGGGGGGGGGGGGGGTAGGTACGAAAAATTTCCAATGAACATGCGTGACACATACGGGATTCGC